ATTAAAAAAAACACAAAAAATTGTACAATCTCATTTGTATTCATCTGTTTAAAATTTGATTGCTGCAAACCAACTAGCCCAGATCTCTTCACGCTGAGATTACCATATCTGGAAAGACAGRGAATCTGCACCAGCACAAACAGGACAGGCTAGCTAGTTAGCCGCAAATGAGCTTTCAAAATAAACACAACGCTATATGGACCCTCTTTTAACATGYAATCTTTTGTGATTGCATGCTACAGGCAAAACAAAAGAGTTTAAGTCAATTCTCAAGATAATGGAGAAATTTAATCCACAAAATGAGCAAAGAAACAACAACAAAGGATGTGTCAAGATGACAAAGCATGGAGTGAAAGGGCTCCAGTGGCAACTTATTGACTATTGATTGAAGGAAAAGTGGTTCACAGTCCTGATATCTACCGCTGACTGATAAAATGATCAATATAGAAAAGTAAAATTGTGAGCAGGACTGGGTAGTGTGGCACATGCTTTATCTAGGTGATAAACTGATCAGGATGAATAAAYAAATCAATGAACATGAGAGGACCAGGAGGAACACTCGGTAAAGTCAGTGATGGTTTGCTTTGTGCCACGTTCACCATCATTCATCCGGCCTAGTTGGTTTTTGCTCTTTTTAAAGTGTGTGTACCTTGCGCCACGGGCCCAATCTGCCCAGCGGATGGAGAGGGGGGAGGGGAGGGAGGCAAATTGGCCGAGTCATCCACTGCGAAGGGAGAGAGAGAAAGACAGACACTTGGTAGACAGGACGTGGATGGGAGGAAGGACATGGCACACAGAACTTTGGGTAGCAGTACTTAACACAGCCTGGTACATTTGTACTGGGTACAGACCTGATACTTTACCAGGTACACACCTGGTATAGATCAGAGACTTACCTGGTACTTCATCAGGTACATGGTTGACAGGCTAAGTAAAACTGGAGTTCTGACAAATAGTTTATACTACCTATTTATATTTATAAGTGACTGTTCAACTTGACGCTGGAAACAGCAGATATCCTGATGGRAAAAACACTGCCATCTGCCGTCAGTTACCTCCTTCTCTCTAGAAGAAATAAATATAACCCCCACCCTTGATCTTTTATCTGATTGAGGCCCAGAGTTATTTGTCAAGCAGCAAAAAATCTACAGGACAAAGAAAGTAAAAAGACATAAAAATGAATGAAGTTCAGTGGCGATGAAGAGATAATGAGAGAAAGTAATTAAATTTGTACTATTTGTGATATTCAGCATGTCTGAACTTTATAATTAGGGTGCAGTTCAGTATGTTTAGTTTTTTGCTTAATTGTGACTCTGTGAGAGAACCACGCAGCCCATCCATCTGCTCCAGAACCAGGCTGKCTGGTCCAACAGAACCAAGCATCATGGTAGACTAACCGTTTCACATATTTTATCATTTTCTTCTTCTCCTTTTTTTTTTTTACAAAACATAAATCTCCACTTTGCTATATTTTATAAATATATCCAAGTTTAATMATTTGTGGCAAATCCACATTTTTCTGTTTATTCAGTCAGTTTAATACAACTGGCACAATAAAATGTTAATAATGTGTGTTTGTATATAATGATATGCTTCTTTTTTGAAATTCAGCCTATTATAAAAAAATATCCCTTCATGTTACGGAAATACCCTCTTGATATAAGAGAAAATGTAGGTTTTTAAGAAAATGTCTGCTATCAGTTAATCGTTAGTTGTTCAATAAGATGAATCAACTTTAGATTAATTCATTAATCGATAACTTGCATCCCTACCTGGTATGTACCAGATAAGTACCTGGTACCTTACTGGGTACAGTCCTGAAACCTACAGTTTACAGGGTAGGTTCCTTGCCTACTCACCAGGTAAGTACCTGTTATTACTGTGTACACATTTGATAGTTATTATGTACTTTCTGAGTATTTTCCTGGTATCTACTCTGTACTTTCAGGTAGGTACCTTGTAATTATTGTATGTACATGATACTTGCCTGATACCTATAGGGTACGTATATGAATTGTACCTGGTAAGTACCAAGTACAGACCTGATACTTTGGTGGGTTAGGGTTTTCTGGTACATAAAGGGCAGATATTATAAGATTTTTTCTTCTTTCAGCTACCTTTCATTTTATTTGATTTGTATTTTTGTTGTATGTGAATTTGTCTTGTTTTTAAATTAAATGAATAAATAATATTACTATTATTATTCTAACAACAGGTATGTACCTGATAAGTACCGGGT